TGCCTCCAACCTAGAAAGCAATGGCCTCCAACCTAGAAAGCAATGGCATCCAACCTAGAAAGCAATGGCCTCCAACCTAGAAAGCAATGGCCTCCAGCCTAGAAAGCAACGGCCTCCCATGGCCTCCAACCTAGAAGCGATGGCCTCCAACTTAGAAGCGATGGCCCCAAACCTTTCTAGCGATGGCCTCCAACTTAAAAGCGATGGATGGCCCCCAACTTAGAAGCGATGGCCCCAAACCTTTCTAGCGATGGCCCCAAACCTTTCTAGCGATGGCCTCTAACTTAAAAGCCATGGTGCCAAACCTTTCTAGCGATGGACTCCAACTTCAAAGTGATGGCCCCAAACCTTTCTAGCGATGGCCTCCAACTTAGAAGCAATAGCCCCAAACCTTTCTAGCGATGTCCTCCAACTTAAAAGCCATGGGTGCCAAACCTTTCTAGCGATGGCCTCTAACTTAAAAGCGATGGCCCCAAACCTTTCTAGCGATGGCCTGCAACTTAATAGTGATGGCCGCAAAACTTTCTAGCGATGGCCTCCAAACCTTTCTAGCGATGGCCTCCAACTTAAAAGCGATGGCCTCGAACTTAGAAGCGATCGACTTGAACTTTGAAGCGATGGCCCTTAACCTTTCTAGCGATGGCCTCCAACTTAAAAGCGATGGCCTCCAACTTAGAAGCGATCGCCTCCAACTTAGAAACGATGGCCCCAAACCTTTCTAGCGATGGTCTCTAACTTAAAAGCGACGGCCCCAAACCTTTCTAGCGATGGCCTGCAACGTAATAGCGATGGCCCCAAAACTTTCTAGCGATGGCCTCCAAACCTTTCTAGCGATGGCCTCCAACTTAGCAGCGATGGCCTCCAAATAAGAAGCGATGGCTTCCATTTTAGAAGCTTTTGCCTCCAACTTAGAAGCGATGGTCTCCAACCTAGGTGGGGTGGCCGCCAACCGCCAACCTAATAGCCTCCAACCTAGAAGCGATGGCCTCCAACTAGAAGGGATGGCCTCCAAACTTAGAAGCGATGGCCTCCACCTTAGAAGCGATGGCCTTCAACTTAGAAGCAATGGCCCCCAACTTAAAAGTGATGGCCTCCAACTTAGAAGCGATGGCAGCGAACCTAATAGTGATGGCCTCCAACCTAGAGGCAATGACCTCCAACCTAGAAGCGATGGCCTCCGACCTAATAGCGATGGCCTCCAACGTAGAAGCGATCGCCTCCAACTTAGAAGCCATGGCCCCCAACCTTTCTAGCAATGGCCTCCAACTTAGACTCACAGAAGCCTATTCCCCCCACCCCTAACCTCCCCCCCATTTGAAATCCTCAATCTTGCCTTCTTCTCTGGAGAGGATTTAAGGCCTAATGAGACTCTAATTCCTTGGAGCTCACTAAAGGTGATGAAACGGAATTGAAGGAATTGACGAACAAGAGTGGAATTCAGCTAAAAGAATTAAGGTGGAATTAGGGTGGAATTGATGAATTAAGGTGGAATTAAGGTTGAATTAAGGAATTAAGGTGTGTGAATATCTCACTCGGTTGATCCTGCTTCCGTTCTTTGCACACCCTTTAGGCACAAGGGTTTCGTTCAGCTGAAAAGGTCAGCGTATTGCCCGTGTTTTGCGTTTTACATTGGTAGCGTTGAGCCATTTGTCGTGTGCCGTTCGCCGACATTGGTCCCGAGTACTTTTTGCTTGAGTTTGTGACCACGGTCTTCTTTGTGGTTTTCCTGGGTGGCTTTTGGGGGCTTCCTTTGGAGGGCTGCGGCAATGCCAACCCCTGACGGAGGGGAATCCGTCATGGAGGCTGACCTCGACGCTGGACATGGTGGTGCTACGCCTTGATGAAGAGGAAGATAGCTCACAGAGGGCTTCGGAGCACTCCTGGGGTAGATGGAGTGCGGAAGAATGGAGAAGATGGGAAGCTGCCTACTACACATGGAACCCGCCGGCTGGAATGCTGGACCTTCCAATGGAGGCACTGTCCCTGGCTCCTCAGCTGAACAGTCCGCCTCGGCTCCGACCGCACCTATCGGTCCTCCTCAAGACCCATGGTGGCTTCGACAAGGTGACCCCTGGGCAGCACATGATGATCGACGAGCTGGAGGCGGACAAGACAAGATCCAAGTCCCGCAATACACCGAGGAGGATGATCGAGATGGGATGAAGGCCAAGGGCTATATCCGCAAAGTGGAAGCTTGGACAAGAGTGACCAGGTTGCCCAAACCAAAACAAGCCCTGGTCCTCTATAACAACCTCTCCGGGAAAGCCTGGAGGGATGCTGAGGAGTTGGACCCGCGCGCTCGACTCGGAGGTTGGGGTCGAGATCTTCATGGATTGGGTCAAGGCTCGCTATATGGATCGGGATCACGAAGGTGGGCCGCTACACGTCGGACTTCTTCAAGGTGCTCAAACGTGGGGCCTCTCAGGATGTAAGGGATTTCAATCAGGAATTCGATAGGCAGATCAGCAGGTTGAGAGAGGTTGGTTGCGCTCTCCCCGACGTCTGTCTGGTGGTGGTACGTGGGCAAGATGCGCGTGGACAATGCGCCCTCCTGTCGTCTGTCGGGAATGCCTACAACCTTCAGAAGCTCCAGGATGTGGCAGTGATTCAGGACAGGATGAACCGCAGGTTGTGGGAACGACGTCATGATGGAGATCGCAAGTCTGATGACAAGAAGAAGGGGCACCAGGCTCTGATGGCAGCTGCTGATGAACATCATCGACTTGGGCGAGGACGACTCCGACCTTGAGCCCTCCGACCTGGACGATGAGACCCAAGAGGCATTGGTTGCATCTCGTATCGCCAAGAGCTAGTACAAGGCCGCTATGAAGGAGCGCGGATTCAATAGCTCGAAGGGCGATCGACTCCGTCAGGCCAAGGCTTGGTCCTACTGCTCGGTGTGCCACAAGAAAGGACATTGGTGCAAGGACCCTGAATGCCCTGCCAACCAAGACAAAGGGCACGACGTCCTCACATTCCACTCACGTCGTCTATATGACCTCGCAGGTTGAGTCGACGAGAACTTCTCAATAGACCATGGCCTTGTGGAGCAAGGTGAACGACAGTCTTGACCTTGCCTTCCACGAGAACACCTATGAGATGGACTATGACATCACGCTGTACGCCAAGGAGAAGGGTGAGATGCACCAGCCCAAGTTCTTGGCCATCGCTGACTGTGCGCGCAGCCGGACTCTAGCTGGGGAACGATGGATGCAAGCGTTCTTGAAACACCAGAAGGAGCATCGAGCCCCCTACTTCATCCTGAAGCAAGACGAAACCTTCAAGTTTGGAGGAGAGAAACTTTATCCCTCAAGGTCGCAGTGGTGACCTGGCTCGCCATCAAGGAGACATGGTTTTTGATCAAGATCAGCGTGGTGTCCGCAGAGGTGCCACTTTTGCTGAGCTGGCCTGCTTTGGCCGAACTTGGAATGCAGTATGACATCGCCAAGGGCGTGGCCAACTTTGCACGCCTGAATGTGCAACAGGTTTGTTTGATCAACAGCGCGTCCGGTCACCCCCAAGTCTCTGTGATTGGCGCCAGACCAGCCCACATGACGTGGCCGGAGCGTGTTGATTGGAGTTTGACTGAAGTCTATGAACCTGCTGCGCAGGAGGCATGCATGGCGAGCAGCCGGGAGGAGTTGTTTTTCCCCAAGAAGGTTCCCAACTCCGTACATGACATGCTTGTGAATGACGAAGCCTTCCTATCCTGGTGGAGATGAAAGGAATACTATAGGGACTTCTGGATCGAGACCCCGCACTATCTCTACCGCATCCATGTGACTCCGCGCAGGTTCTCCTTTGATCCCAGGGCTTGGCAAACCAAAAGTTGAAGGAGCTTTTGTTGGAGGACATTGAAGGGAACTGTGAAATTATCACCATACCTTGCACCTCCAACGTACTTCCGCTTTCGCACTCGTTTCGCTGGTCAGATGAGGCTCCGCGCAGGTTCAAATACTTGTTGGTTTGCCGGAGCCGTTTTGACAGACGACTCAAGACCTCGGTGTCCCTCGACGGCCTGCCAACCACGGCCCATCCTCAGACCAGCTCTTTGACCTCGCCGTGGAAGATGAAACAAGGCGGAGCTGACCACAGCCCTGGTGGAGTTGGGAGTGCCGGCCGAGCTCAGATCACTGTTGATGGAGCAGCGGCAGGTGACCCCGACCAGTTCTCGCCTGAAAGGACTGTCGGGAATGAAGTTGGAGGAGCTCATCGCCAAGTGCAACGAGCTGGGGGTGATGATTCCGCCCAAACCAACCCGGGGGCTTCTGATGAGGCTGATCCGGTCGCTACAAGGGGTACCACTTTGGCGAGGTGCCTGTCGACTACTTGGAGTGGGCAGCGCAGGAGTGCAAGGAGAACGAGAACCACATCCCGGACTTGGCTCGGCTTGCCAAGTGGGCAGCATCACACCTGAAAGAAGGCAGCAGCCGGGACAAGTTCATGAAGACGGGCTATCGCGACCCCGAGGAGGTGGCCAAGAAGGCACCACCGGTGGCAACTCTTCCACCCATCTGCCCTCCTACAGAAGACAGCTACGACATCCAGTGGGAAGGCAAAGACGAAGACAGCGCCTCGGAAGAAGACTCGGGCAACGACCTGGCGGACGAGCAGAAGGAGAAGATCGACAAGCTCGAGAAGACGGTCCAGGACCTCCAGGAGAAGTTGAACGAGGAACTCGCCAAAGGATACTGGAAGGAACTGAACGAGGAGATCGCCGCCAAGAAGGTGAAGACGGAGGTTGGTTCCGAGCCATGTTCGAGAGGGTCAAGGCTCTGTTCACACGGTCGGAGGACCTAGAGCCCCGGCGGAGAAGCGCCTGATCGTGGACCTTGCAGGCCTAAGATGATCTACGAGGAGCAGGCTTTGAGGGTGGCAAGGCGATGAGGTGGTTGCCAACTGCCAAACAGATGGCAGACAACCTGACCAAGATCATCACAAAGAACATCGAACGGTGGAACCGCCTTAGCCGGCTTGAGCCTGCAGGATCAAAAGGTACATAGTGCGTGTGAATATCTCACTCGGTTGATCCTGCTTCCGTTCTTTGCACACCCTTTAGGCACAAGGGTTTCGTTCAGCTGAAAAGGTCAGCGCATTGCCCGTGTTTTGCGCTGTACAAGGTGTGATTAAGGTGGAATTAAGGTGGAATTATGGAATTGACGTTGGATTATGGTGGAATTAAGGTATTACGTGAATTGAATAGGAATTGGGCCGGAATTGAAGGAATTCAGGAAAAGGAGTTGAATTGAGCTGAAGATTAAGGTGGAATTGAGTAATTAAAGTGGAGTTAAGGTATTACGGGAATTCAATAGGAACTAAACACCTCTTACATACCTCAAAATTAGAAATGAACTCAGCTTTTCCCAACATGTTCTCATCTTCCAGAATTGGATCCGATTCAGCGCTAGATAAGCTTTAATTCTTTAATCAAGGCTCATTTGTTGTTCTTTTGCTTTAAGGCCTTATTAAGACCTTACCTACTTTTTCTTCAATTCGCCCAAGTGGGGGGTGGTCACGGGGGGGTCGTGGACATCCAAGTCATCGATGGCCCCCAACTTAGAAGCGATGGCCTCCAACTCAGAAGCGATGGCCTCCAACTTAGAAGCGATGGCCT